TGAAGAACAGGGTGAGAAAGGTAAACAATCAGAATTCTATGAACCTGGAAAACAGTGTTCCACAATCGCATTTGTACTCTCTGGTACCACAAATTTTGGAATGGGCTTTCCAATCAGACTGAACGGCGTATTTCTTCGAACATTTATCGCATTTCCACTTCTTTTCGCCGTGCTTTCTGCAGAAATGTTTCTTAATTCCGGTCAGATCACCCAGAGCTCTGGAGGGATCGTGATGAACACACGACGGCTCAGGGCAGACATACACCTTCTTCTTCACCTCCTTACTGGACCTCTGCCGGAGTTTCCATGGAAGATTGTGGCCTCGCCGGTGAAGCTGCAGATTCTGATCCCTCTGAAACCCCTTATTGCAAATCTCACAAACGAATCGATTTGTGGCCATTAGAGTCTTTGGGGACAGAGCAATCACTTCCGCATCCGGATCTGAGCAGCACACAAAAGTTCAATTGAACAGTCGAAGAAAAGAAGGTTGTGGAAATCCGAAGTAATAATAAGCAATAATAAAAACAAAAGTACCTGGCATTCCGGGTAGATTTCGCTTTTTCTTAGCGGCGGATTTAGGAGGCGGAGCGCCGTTTCCGGTGGAGGAGACACTGGCTTCCCCGGAAGCCGGCGAGGAATTGTCTAAATCGGCCGGCATGAGTTTGCGAAACAGAAATTAATTAAATCGAGAGACGTGAAGAGGAAGATTTCAGAGCATTTATCTCATTCGATTGGGAAAAATCTTTTTGTTCTTCTTCTAGGGTTTCTTTTTCCCCTCTCTCTCTCTATCTCTACCAGTCAAATAACTTTATTTTCGCATCCACCAACCAGCTCTGTGGGGGTCTCTGACCAAAATCCCACATTACCCAAAACACGCAATGATTAATTCGAACTCTCCGGAGGTCCGAACCCAAAACGGAGCCGGAGAAGATCAGGCAACGGCGATTAAACGAACGGAACCGTCGGCCGGCGGTGGAGATGAGATGGGTTAAACGGGGTCGTCTCCGTTCCGTGACAATTTGGCGAACGGGACAAAGGGGATAAATATAATAATGGAAACGAGAGATTCAACTGTGATTCAGCAGGGCGACAAGGCGATGACTTTGCCTTTTCATTACAGAAAAATAATCCTAAAAATTATTTAAATACAAGAAAAAAAGGGGTCTGCTGTAATTTGTGTTTGGGAGCTGAGATAGGATAGACTGGAAGAGGATATGAGTGGGACTTCTTGTTGAAGTTTCCAATTTGGGACACAGAGCGCAGTCGTCGACTCGTCGTTTCGTAAGCTTTGGCAATTTCGATGTCGTCCCACAATCTGGTCGGTGTTCCGCATTCAATACTGCCACTGCCAACGCATTGCTCACTGTGATTAGTTTTGTATTTTCTGTAATGATATATATTGGTTTTAATATATATATATATATATTAGTCGTTAACCTATTTTGGTTCTTGCTATTTGGTTTAAATTCGAATAATCTGATGCGCAGCTCTTATTTTTTAGGTAAAAAATTGTAATTTGGTTTATTCAAGTGTAGTTGAGCAGACAAAATAAAATAGATATTTTGAAGTTTAGAGATTAAAGTAGACTTTTTAAAATAAAAAAAAAACGATAATGAAGTGTGAAGTTTAGGAAGCAAAATTATTTG